TGAGCGCTTAAGGATTACTCCCAGCGCGAGTGTGAAGTTGTCTTGTTATAATGCGCCTATTGTGCAGTTTGCGTTGAAAAATTTTCAAAAGCGAGAAATGCGGAAACTAGAAAATTTCCGTTACCTGATGCCAGTGATACGAGAAGTTGTCGCGCAATGTACGTAACATTTAATTATGCAGATGCATTTTATTGTGCGTATAATTCCTTTGGTTCGCTTTGAAGTAAATGTATTAAGGCGAAAAAATCTATCCAAATGGCTACTTATTTAGTAGGTTAGTTTGAGTTCCGAGGCAAAAACATTTATTTTAATGCTTTTTATATTAATTAAAAGTTACAAAATTAAAAGTTATAAAATATACATTAACTTACATTAGTTTTCAGATAGAAAATAGGAAGCACTGTAATTCAAAAGTATTATTAGATCTTTTTATACTTTTTTTAAATCTCTAAAACCTTATACTGTCAATATATAAACCACATATAAACAAAGGAGATTATTATGACATTTTGTTACATTCGTTCATTTGTTTTTCTAAAGAAAAAAAATTTATAAGAAAAATTTCTCTATTAACTAAAAAAATAATATTAAACGTAAGTGTTGTAGGTGTAAATAATGTGGTTCCGAACGTACTCAACACTCAAAAGTTTTGATAACCGGCAGACAGACATGTTGGCTTTCGAAAACAGTGAACGCAGTATTTTCTAATCGAATGTCATCGGAAGTGCTTGTAAACTTCCAACATCTCCAATATTATATTGCAAAAATTTACCAACTTATCCAACTCCTCGGGTCACATTTAGCCAAAGTTTCCAATTTTGGAAAACAGAACCATAATGGCACTGGATTCTGAACGTAAGGACGTAAGACTAACGTAAGTCTAAATGTAAGAATTCGTGAAATTTGTTTGCGACAACGTTTTCTCTGATCTAAATCTTATTTTATGATTAGTGACAGAATTAATACTTTATTGTGTGTTACTTTATAGTGACAGAATTGTTAGATAAAAGTCACAGTTATTTAATCCCCTTATTTATTTTATTATGAATTTAGATTAAAGTACCCGGATGACCGAGCTTTGCTCGGTTTTTTTAAGTTACATTTATATATACAAATTACATGAATAATAGTTTTTGATCTTATTGACATAATAGAAAAAACTGAACTGGTTATTTGAATAAAAAATCATGAGTGCAATTAGATTAATTAAAATTTTCGTATTTTTAAAAAATACTAAAAAAAAAGGGCTCGAAATAACAGAATTTCTCACAAAAGAAGGGAACTTGAAAAAAAAAAGGAAAAAAAGCCGGACTCAAGACGGGACGCGAACCACGGAACACCAATATCACGCCAGAACAACACCCATCTGAGCTATTACGATCGTTACTAACCTGTCAAAAATTTACCTTCTTATATTGTAGCAGTTTTTTATTGCCTGAATACACGGCCAAAGGGACATTTTCTAAAAATAAATCCTAGCTAGATCGATTTATTGCCCCCGAAACTCTCTGGACACTAAATTTTATGAAAATCGTTAGAGCCGTTTCCGTGATTCCGATTATATAATAAAAAGGATCAAATACACCATACTAAACTCGACTAAAATATTTACTTACTATAGTGTCCACTGTCAATATGTCGTCGGTAAGGCATCGGCCCTTTTGATACTTTATTATTTGATTGACCGATGAAGAGCTATCGTATCACAAAGCCATCTATGCAAACAAGGCTGTAGTTTTTGAGTTACAAAAAAGTGACCATATTACCTTCACGTACTATACAAATTCCATTCACCACCGTAAGTAAGCTTATAATGCTTGTTAGTGGTATAAGATAGTACCTTAATGGCGGATCCTAACCCTCGATTTTCCAAGCTTGCAGTCCGCACTCTTTTAGATTTTCGATACATCGTCATCAATTTAAATTTAAAGTTAAAAAACGCTTGTTATGCTGTGACGATTAAAACATATTCAACATACAATGGGATAGATATTGCAGTGGGCTTTACGAGTATAATATTGAGAGATAGGCCACAAGTTAAGCGCGCGAAGATCGAGTAAATACTGTCTATTATTGAGAATAATATCTCTGTTTATTTATGAATAAATGCAGATGAATAGCATAATACAGATGGTGTCTCTATTGACATTGTTTATACTACGAATCTAGTTTCAATAAAAAATACTCAACTTAGATTAAAGGAATAGTAATACAATATTTATTAAACTCTTATTGCCCACGCTCAAAGTGGCATGTGATGTAGAAAATGGACATTAATTTTTTATACCTATAATTAGCTACATTGGTAATGGTCGGCTCGACTGAAGAAGTACCATATTCTCACAGAAACCAGCATTAAATAGCAGCATAACGCTGTTGTCTTTCATATTGTGAGTGTAGAGAACCGGAGACCCTTTTAATTGAAAAGTAGCATTACATCTTAGTCCTCACGGGTGAAAACGCATCTGATTCTCTATTTTGATTTATGATCGATGATTGATGTAGATGTCTATGGGCCGCAGCAACCACTTACCATCATGTGGACTGTGTTCTCGTTTGTCATCCTTATTCTATAAAAAAGTAGTATATTATAATATGTCAATATGCCAGCCTGTTTTTGTATATGGATATGTAGGTGACAGCACAATTGTGGAGAGGTATCAGTTGAGTGCTCGGAATCAAATCCAGTCAGAAAGAGCTGCTTTGGTTTAGCGTATGAATCTCTCATTGTAAGCACTATGTGGATCGGGTTCCCGCCTTGTCGTAATGGGGGGCTTAGTAGCTTTGACTTAGTCGCCCGCGGTTTGACTAAGAGGAAACCACATGGCTGGCCCGAGGAGGCCACTCCAAGTGAGTTTGGCTAGCCAACTTCGAATGTGTTTTAGTGGGCTGTGGTGAGAGGGGTGCCCTCTTCCCCTACCGCTGCAGTCGAGGTGGAGTCGTGGAGGAAGAGGAATGTTAGTATGGCGATGCGCCACACGCCCTATCCTCCGCGACTCTGACTGGGCCGCACCGTTAATTGATGACACTCCTCTCCTCCCGCAGACCCACCACCACGGTGGGTCTGCGGGAGGAGAGTAGTGTCGGTATTACGAGGCGCTGCTCTCCCTACCCTCCACAGCCAAATCTTAGTTAGCAGCGGAGCCACATACCAGATCCACCGCTGGGATTAGGAAGGCTAGTGCTTCTGAGTGCTCGGTTTTCCTGCCCCCATAGCCTTCGCGCATCGGACATGGGGGCGTCTGTTGCGCATGTGAAGTTGAAGGCCGCGGAGGAGGGCGCGCCATGTGTTCTGATGCGCCTTACCTGAGAAGGAGATGGGGGATACTCCTCTCCCACCTCCTCTCCCGAGGAGGGGTCGGCATAGGACAACCATCGCTGGTGGGGAAACCACGGATGTTTGCGAAAGCGTTCCAGTGGTCGTGACGAAGCTGTAACACCATGGGGTTCTAGTCAGTGCGAGTAGTAAAGAGTAGGGCGGAATTTATAAATTACGCAATAATATTATTTAAAACCAGGAAGTTTAATTTAATTTAAATGCAATACGTAATGCGTGGACTTTAATAGGCTGTAAGGTTAAAGGTAATGGCAATACGTATTAAGTTTTTTGATATCGCTTGTGGTTATTAATTAATAATTATAGTGTATGTATTGAACTGTACTTGGGGTAGAAAGTCGGAAGAATAAATAAAAGTGAATTGAACAAATAAACATGAAACCCCGTCTGGGGTAGATAGATGAACACGCGTTTCCGAGTATCCACCCTAGGATGGATTATTTAGGGTGGATAAACGGAATAACTTCTATATATATAGGCTTACCTTGAGCGGTGGCCTTTTGGTAGTATGTAATAAATGAATTATTCATAACACACTTTACTATTATTGTGCTATTATATACTATTTTTTACTATTACAACAATATGTACATTGCATACGTGGTAGAGCCATGCTGCATCTATGTTTCTATGGTTGTAGCACGAATGGGTCGGCTTGACAGGGGAAGGACCACGCTCAATGTTTTTACTGGAAACGAGGTATTCCATCTTAGTCTTCAGAGGTGGCAACGCATCTGCACTTTGATTCTTAATCGAAGATAGATGTAGATGTCACCCATATTCAATAAATAAAACATGAAAACTATTTACAATTTCATGTAATTTTGTCCCCTTATCCTCAACGCATTTACTGTTGGCCGTCTTAAGAGTTGTTTACGTCCGCCGGATTTGCATTTTTACATAATAATGAGCAAAATATCAACTTCAATTTTTCATTCCTTGCCTTGTGGATATGACAGAAATAGATTTCACAAAAAAATTTTATCAGCAACAACTACATCGCTGACAGCCAGTGTGTGAGGGTCTATCAGCTCATTTATCGCAAGTGTCGTAACAAGCTACTAGGAAACTTACACTAAATATCATAGTTGTACGATGATTTAGCATTATATTCATTCATAGTACTATGAGTCCGTGAGATGTTAATTTATAGGGATGATGGAGGATCGCTTCGGACAGATGGCTATATAACCATCTCGTATATGCCAGATGGAATACACGCCGATCGAAGACGGACAACGGTTTAATGCGTCAGATACGGCAATCGCTATTCAATCTCCATAATATGAAGTTGGAAATACATCTTTAAAAAAACAGAGGTTAGCCAAGTGACAAACTATCGGCACTAATAAAGAACTTGCCAATTTCAAAAAGTTATTAATTATGTGTGCTGAAGTATGTCTATTGTGATCGTGTGCAGTATTACTCCCTATGATGCAAAAATCCTTACAATGCGAGAGGCCTTTGTCTTCAGTCCTTTTCTTACTTATATTACTAAAATTTTGTCTATGTTTTCATTTGTCTCTTTACAAAACTTACGTATATATATATATATATATCTAAATAATACGTACGTTCTAACGAGGTATAATTGAAAGGTTCTTCATCGATGAGCTGTTAACTACAAACATGTCAAACGAAGATGAGCCACACCAACAGCTAACTAGATCTTTGAGCGCAGTTTGGACTTCGGTTTGATCGTATTTACTCTCTGCTCACTAGTTAGTCTACAAATTGCGGATAGTTTCTTTGTGTTTTTGATTAGAAACTTGCTAAATAAATAAAACCATACTATATAAGTACATTGAAAACAAAACTTCAAGTTTACAATAATTTTTATTTATCTCAATAAAATATTTCAAATTAGTTTTGTAGTACCAGATTTTATAATATAATATTTGAGAATTCCCAAGAATAAACGAAGGGTTTTTTTATTAAAGCAATGAACATTTTTGCTCGTATTCTGATAAAGTATTTAAATTAATAATAGCAAGATGAATACATTACAAAGGTTACATCGTGGTCCAGGATTTTTTAGTGATATTTTCTTCTTTTTTTAATACATACGAGTATCACTTTTAATAAGTTTTTTCAAGGGTAATGTATTTTCGTTATATTAATCGTCCATAAATAAGTAAAGTATGAAGCGACATTAGCCTAATGGATGGGCGCGGACCGCGAACTGTCAAAGGTCGTGGGTTCGAATCCGCCATTCGACTGCTGGCGTGAACCAGTAACACAAGCAATTTAAGCTTACCACGAGCGGTTAAGGGGAATATTAGTAATTTTTATAGCATTGTTAATATTCTTTATAAAAAAAATGAACAAAATCAATGGCTACAATGGTATATGGTAAATGGTATACATTTATAATAGGGATGTCTAAATACTGATGTGGTTCTTATCTTATTAATGAGATGAGCTAGCAAATGTTTTGGTTGTACCTTATGCATCCTTAAATTATTGGTACGTAGATAACTCAAAGCTGTAGGTCGGGATCGCAATCTCCTACAATGGACACACCAATTTAATGGATACGCATTGTAATTGAAAACTGTCTTTGATGTTATTTTTGGTTTCTCAAGTCCTAAAAGTGAAGGTTGAGAAAAAACACTGCTAACACCATCAGGTTGGTCAGAAATAAACATTTCATTTGCAGGATAACCAACACGATAAGTAATTGCATCATCCAATGGTTTTACTATAGCTACTTTACGTTGTGGGGATTTTATTTCATCTACTTGTTTCAAAAATCGTCGTGAATCTAAATACAATTCGGCACTCGAGTATTTATCATAATTTTCATCTTCTATGACCTTTAAGAGATTGTTCACACTTTGGTTATGGTTGTTTTTTATTTCTTCGGTGTTCGGTGAATATGTTATTTGATTACCTAAGCTTGGAATAGTACTATCGGTAATTGGACTCGTGTGCTGGAATAACTTTTCGAAGTTTTGATTTTCATTTAAAGCGCTGCCAGCTGTTTGGTTAACATCTTGTGACTCCTGTATCATCTTTGTTGATGTATCATCTTTGTTGTCCTGAACATTTATCTGACTTTTTATTTTAAAAGTAACATTTTGGGCTTCCTTAAATTTGGGTTTTCTATTTAAATTTGATAGACTCGTTGATTTATTCGACTTTATATTAGTTGATTCGTTATTTGATTTAAAACTCACATCATATGACCCAATCGGTGCCAATTTAAAATATATTACTTTGGAATCATTTGCCCATCTTGACGTATCATTATTGTTTTCTTTTCCATCCTTAAAATATTTACCTTCTGTATCTGATAAAAATTTATCAAGTAACGCTGACAACGTTTTTGAAGATTCTGACGTTGACCAAGCGAAGCAATTATTTTTAGACAAAATTAAAACATACCCTGCAAAAACAAAAAAGAAAAATAAATATCTATTTAAAAAATAAGATGAAAAACGCTGAGTAAAATATTTACAAAGTATAAGTCCCATGACGGTTGCCGCTCGGTACATTTTAAAACTAACTGAGCGTACTTTATTACTGCAATCGATCTGAGATGTTATTAACTCTTATCACACCTGTGGATTATGACCTTAATTAAGAACAAAATTAGAACCATATGTGCTATGAATTGAAATTGATTTATTCCACGAATCTGTAAATTTTAAATTACTAAAACTCTAAAACTGGTTAATTTTTCATTCATTCCTACCCCAAGGAATGCCTTAAACATATGATAAATACACGATCCTGAGCCACCTGTAACCATCGACTTTCTTTCTACGGATTAGTAAGCTGAAGTAGCAATAGGCCGGCTATATACTCGTACCTCGAAAAACCAACAACCGATGGAGAAGAAAGGTTCTGGAGTGGCAGCCTCGTGTAACGGTAGGCGAAGTGTCGAACGGCCCGACTAGAGATGGAGTGACGACATGGTAAAACTAGTTAATATATATGCTTTATTGAACGATTTATAATCATTTTTAACAACTTTAATTTATATTAATATTAATATCATTTTTATATTTAACTTATGGTTAAACTAATACTTTGCTGGGAGGATTTGTTGTAACTCAGTCAGAACGCACTAGATTGGCGATAACAGTATTAGTCACAGACTTATTTTTTGTACATAATAAACATATTTTTCCGTTATACCTTAACCACTTTTTCAAACTTCCTTGGTAACCAAATCCATTAGGCTTTGAAAGGAATTCATTTTTTAAACCAAAAAATTACAGTTAATATTGTTTTTATTTTTCGCTAAATAATTTTTATGAATTTTTTATAACATGGTACACGACCGCTTGCATTGGGGCCTGAGTGTCTGATTACTTTCTCTCAGGTCTTCAGTTTGAACCGCAATTTGAGCACTAATATTTGTGCAAAATATAATTTTATGATTTTCATGTCTTTTTATCTAATTACAAGAGCGTTATTGGGCAAGTGCCAAGGGTCAATCCAGTTTAATTATTAGCTTCCCTCAATGATGATGACGTTGTTTGAACGTCATCAACATCACTACAATGTATTATAATAACGCATAACATGACTTTCGTTTAGTTAATTTTTTTAATAAAAATAATTGTCATCAATAAACGACTTAAACTCACGCGGAAACGTTTTACAAGTTGACGTAAACTGAAAAAAGCAATCATGGTGAACGCCGTCTTGGACGGCATCCGCATCAAGTAAACAGCTCGGTTCGTCCTGCATTTCAATCGACTCTATTTGTATTTTATTGGAGACGACTCAGTCCGTAGCGACACAAACCAAAGCTTTATGTTTTATTGAGTTCTTCTATGAGGCTCACTCAATAATGGACTTTGATATTAACAACGCTGCAGTTTAATTACTTCTTCCGTCTACTTGTATTGCTCAGGATTGTGCCACGTTTTCGATGTTATTAAAAGTATTTATAATAACTAAGGTACAAATATTTCTTTGATAAATTGGAAACCCGAAATTGCATATAAATGGTTGATTTAAAACGCTTAATATTTTTGAACAATATTAGCGTTGTCACTTATATATTGAGTTTTTCGATATACACTAATTTAGTTTGTATTTTTGTGGTATGACATAAGATGGTTCACTATAATAACTAAATGGCTAATTCGAATTTGTACACAGTTATGTAGTCGTTGTGATTTAAAACTTCATTGCATTTATTCCAAAAATTTAACAAACCTAAATGAGTAACTAATAACAAAACACATTCGAATTTTTCATAAAATATGTGAAAGCAAACACAATAAATATAATTTATCAACTCAAGTTTAAGCTTTTTATTAACAACTTAGCGGGAAAAGTATCAAATTAAGTTAGCCGCTCCTAAACACTACTTATCATACAGGCCATGCTGACAAAATAGTTAGTGTACATTCGCGAATGTTCGAATAATTGAGGTGTACATTTTCACTTTGTTCCGTTTCCAATCGATTAAAATCGCTGTACCTCTTGTACTGTATGTCCAGTGTTTACTAAACGATTTGAACAGTCCGGCGGTTTGTGCAATCGGGCGCAAAATTTTTTGTACCAGCTTCTGCGAATTCATATTCATTTTACTTCAGCTCGTAGTGATTTTAATGTACGGCGCATTTCAAATTTGTTGGTAATTGTGTCTTTTATAGAACATAAATACAAGTTAATTGTAAAAGAAAATGGGATTACTACAATTTTGTGTAGCGATGCATTATTTGTAGATATAGTTTTTAATGGAGCACTAAGCAATGTTTTTCTAAACGAAACTTATGGAATCACCTAGAGGCGTATGTATATCTCTCTTTATACATATTATGTATAGTTACGTTGAAGGCACACGACTTTTGATTGTTTATCTGAAAGACTATTTAACGTAGATGACAAAATTCAAGACACTGTAAGGGATCCAAAAAAAAAAAAAAAAACAAATTTGAATTTCAATACTCGAATTTTAAAGAATAATGTGAAATTAAAAAAGTTTTTAAAGACCAACGTGTATAGTTTCAATAAATTCTTTGAAAAATATTTAATTATTCATTGAAACATATTTAGTGTCTTAAACTAAAAGTCGAATAAGCACTCAAGCCTTCAGAAGTTAAGAGCTCAAATAGTTAAGAAATCAGTTCTTTGATGTTTTAATATAAACAGGTTGGTCTAATGTCAATTATGTTTTATCAAAATCCTTTAAAGAATACATTAAAATCTAAATATTTTTAGGTTCAAAGTATTTAACACAAAGTACGTATTTAAAAAAATATAGAGACACAAAATCTTATTCACATAATAATGCTTAAATAATTACATTACAGAAGACAAACATTTACATTAGAGAAGACAAAGGCCTTCACACCATGATGCCAGTCGTTTGATATAGTAAGTAGATAGAGTCTTGTGATTTGTGAATTATTCACAATCACAACCACGGATTTATCACGACGGAAATAAATGTGATATTACCCATTTTTAGAGGTCTTAAGTAATTAGTGGTATTTTTATGTCTAAAACAATTTATAAAATAAAAAAATTATTAGCATCCGTCCTCATCATGTGTCTGAGATATTAAACGTGACGCAAACTAAGCTTTTTAACGTCTACACTTTTAAAGTCACAGGGCAGTTTAAAATATATTGGCTACTGGGTCTCGCGAGTCGTCGGTACATTTTACGACCAACTAATAAAAATTTTATCGTGTAACAGTAAAGAAGCAATCAGTCCGTTGGATATTGGCTGGCATGGTCCGTAAACACGTGCATTTTTATGTGCGTCAGCTGTTACCGCGATTTGAAGATTTAAACGTTACCTAGGTTGTGCTTAAGATTATCGCATCTATAAATTACTAAAGCGCTACGGGGTTAGTTCTGCGCCCTCTTTTCCCAAAAGAGGGTCGCTCACGATAAGGCACAATAAAGCTTAATCAGCCAGTTGCCTGTCCCTAAAGGCGGTTTAAAAAAAAACTTAGAACGTAATATGACATAAAAACGGTTTTGTGGCGGTGTAAGAATATCCACTTCCGCCATGCCGTCCCGTGGAGAAACAAACAAACAGAGAAAAACAAACCAAAAGATTGGCGGCAGCGTCTTCCTACTGACATACGAGTATCATCATCATTCTCTAAACCATTTCCCATTATCTGGGGTCGGCGCAGTAAACCTTCTTGTTCCATTCCTCTCTATCAGCCGTCATTTCCATACTTACTCCTTTCATTCTCATATCACTCTTCACACAATCGATCCATCTTTTATTCGGCCTTCCTCTGCCCGTGTGTCCCTCCACATTCATATTCAACACTCGTTTTGTGACATGACTTTCATCCCTCCGCATCACATGCCCAAACCATGCCAATCTGCTTCCTCTCACCTTTTCTACCACTGGCGCTACTTTCAGGCTTCCTCTTATATACTCGTTACTCATTACATACTGACATACGAGAATAATACAATAAAAAAGGGCGGACTTAATGCCTGAAGACATTCTTTACCAGTCAACCCGTAAAGTAGTGAGTACATTATATGTAACAAAATATATATTATGATATAATATTGTAAGTAAATACATATATATCCGTATATTTACATAAATGTGTGTGTGTGTGTGTGTGTGTGTGTGTGTGTGTGTGTGCGCGCTACACATTCATAGTATAAATATATATGTGTGTATAGGAGAGGTTTAAGATTGTGGACCCTTAATGTGCAAACGTCTGGGGAAACTACGTACTTAGGGGTAATGATGCTGCTTGATTAATCCTAGTCAGCAATCTTTTACTACGCACTGAAATCGCTTGGCATTTTACTGGATTGACGCAGACTGCAGAGCGCGAGGACCAATCTTTAATGGTGTTCAAATTTTGGTTTAGTTTATGAATTCTGTTTCAACGACAAATTGCACATATAGCTGCAAATCGACGGCGTACAGATTGAATGAGCAATCAATATTATGAGTGGAAAAGTTTTTAAAAATTAAGAAGATTATAGGAGAGAGTATGTCGCCTCGCGAGACGCCACTTTCAAATTTTATATCATAGTAACTGAACAGTGTGCGCTAACGAAACTATATATAGTTAACTACCGTTATTATTAAACTTGACTAATATTAATATTTTTACATGGTAGAGTCATGCTGCAGCTATATTATAGTTGTAGCACGAATGGGTCGGCTCGACCGGGGCAGGACCATGCTCTCTCAGAATACCAGCGTAAAATAGCAGCGTAATACTGCTGTGTTTCATACGGTTAGTATAGAGAACCGGAGACCCTTTTTACTGGAATCGAAGCATTCCATCTTAGTCCTCACCCCAAATGCAAATGCGTCACGCATTTGCATTTTATTTGATTCTTAATTGAGAATAAATGTGGATGTCTTTGGGCCACAGCATCCACTTACCATCAGGTGGGCTGTGCTCGTTAGTCACCCAATGCTATAAAAAAAATATGAAAATATAATTTTACCCATTTACGAGTATTTAACTTTTATTTCGATTATTTTAATTCAAAGGCCGGTTGTTATCATTTATTTATGGTAGCGTTAAAATACATTATGTTTGTTTAGTAATTTAGTTCTTTGAGTGGTTTCTTGGAAAAATAAATATTCTATGGAGCATTTAAAAACTGTTGGTAGTGCAAAATAATATCTTAATAGGAATAGTCCTAGGTAATAACTAGGAGAAAGTATGTATAGTACGATATAGTGTAATACATAGGCTGCACTAATAGTATCGGGAATGGAATATTTCCACTGTTCCTGTCAAATTAAAATCTTTTTAATTGAAAACTCCTTGGTTTTAAAAATTGAATACCATTTATTTATTTAAAAAAAGATTCTCGGTCTTGTTACAAGGTTTTGTCAAACTTGTTTAGTGGTTGAGAAAATGGAATTGACTCGAGAAAATTCTAGAGAGATGATTTATTATGACTTTCGAAGTGATTTAACACAAAAACAGTGTATTGACCGGATGATTTCTGCATTTGGTGATGAAGCCCCATACAAAATCACAATTTATCGCTGCTTTGCTGAATTTCAACGTGGACGTGTCAAGCTCAGTGATGATCCCTGATGAAGGTCGTCCAAAAACTGCAGTCACCCAAGAAAACGTTGATGCTGTGCATAAGCTGATTGAGGAAGATCGACATGTGACATACCGCGAAATTCAGGCTTTAGACATTGGCATGAGTCACATACAAATAATCTTGCATGAACAATTAGGTGTAAAAAAGTTGTTTTCCCGATGGATACCGCATTCGCTCTGTGAAGAGCAAAAAGCGGTTTGCGTTACTTGGTGCGTCAGAACTCTCGAAAGAATCCACGCAGGATCCTCAAATGATGTATACAACATCGTATCAGGTGACGAATCCTGGATATATGCGTACGAACCCGAAACAAAAAACCAGTCACGAGTTTGGGTGTTCGAAAATGAGTTAAAGCCAACAAAAATTGTTCGTTCACGGAGTGTTGCAAAAAAAATGGTGGCCACGTTTGTCTCCAAAACCGGCCATGTTACGACTATTCCTCTTGAGGGATAAAGAACGGTTAATGCAGAATTGTATGCTAGCATTTGTTTGCCATAGGTGGTTTCTGAACTCCGTAAAGAACACTGCAACCGCCGCATCATCCTCCATCACGACAATGCGAGTTCTCACAGCGCACTCAGAACAAAAGAGTTTTTAGAGCAAGAAAACATAGAATTATTAGACCATCCGCCGTACAGCTCCGACCTAAGCCCTAATGATTTCTATACTTTCCCTAAAATAAATAATACATTGCGTGGACAGAGATTTTCATCACCTGAAGAATCTATGGACGCCTACAAAGCGGCCATTTTGGAGACCCCAACTTCCGAATGGAATGGTTGCTTCAATGATTGGTTCCATCGTATGGAAAAATGTGTCAAATTTCGCGGAGAATACTTCGAAAAGCAATAAATACATTTTTAAATAGTAATGTTGTGTCACTTCCTTGATTCCCGAAATTTTCAGTGCCGCCCTTGTATGTAGAATGTGTAGTATTGTAGATATATATTCTCAAAATAAGTACATATGTCAAATATTGTTAATTAACTGGCTAAAATAATGATATACTCATAAACACATACACACAGTTTAATTGAAGTGGCTAGTTATGGAAGAATAGTCTCCTAATACCTGTGAAAAAAATCCAGACACGGTTAAAACACTACGATTTTTGTTACTAAAATTTAAATTCACTTTTTAATACTTTCCCGCTTGAAAAGGGTTCAAAAATAATTATAATTATGGATGAAAGCACCCCGTTCCCCACGGAATGAACGCAAACCATGTAAAATATATTCTACACTAATAGGTAGTATACAACACTTATATCAGGTTTACGTAAGTCAATTCCTAATTAATTAGATTAAAGGCCAGGTGATCCTGGCCGCATGGAAAGGAGCACACAATAATCTGCTCAGCGTCTCCACACAAAGCAACTCCGCGTGCTATGAGCTAACCCATACAACACACTAGAAGTGGGAAGAGAAGTTGGGAACTGGAGCATAGTGCACAGATAAATGACTGGCGCTCTCATAAAAAGGGGGCTTTCCCGCGTTTAAGTCGCCCATGTAAATGC